ACAAAAATAGTGGCGCCAATCGCCAAGATAGACAAAAACGCGGTGTACTGTTCCTTCTTTTTTAAGCCTGAAATTTCAGTTACCGTCATAGATTCGATGCGTAGTAGCCTCCATAGTCTGTTTTTATACTGACGTCATTAGGTTATAATGATCGTACTCATCACCGGCACGATTAATTGATTTTTCTCGCACGATTCCGCATGCGGCTGTGTCATTCACAAAGACATCGCAAACCAACTGTGAGTTGCTTCCTGGCCTTCCGTCGTACGCGTATCTCATCATACACCTACGCTCGCATCGCCTTCGTTACCGCCGCTCCTATCAATTCTGTCCATCGCTCCCGTCCCTTTTTGTCGCTCCCATCCCACCCATGTCTCTCGTCGCTCTCGCCCCTCTTGTCGCTCTCGTCATTCTTGTAGCTCTTGTTGCTCTCGTAGCTCTCGACGTTGTCTCTCTCCTCACTCTTGCCCGTCTCGTTGCACCCCGTCGTTCCCTCCTACTAGACTATCCTGTCCCGCCCCTCCATTCCCTCCTCGCCTCTCCCCTTGCCCTTTTGCTGTTTTACCCTCCGTCCCTATGCGGTGTCTCCACTTCCCTACAATCTGCTTTTATGCTTCCCTCCGCCCTTTCTCTTCCATTTTTTCTACGCGCAGCTTTTCCCCTTCCATGTGCGCTCCTTTTCCCCTTCCGGACGAGCGGCTTTCCCTATTTCTCCCCACACAACTCCCCTTTCCTTATGTGCTGTTTCCCCACTTTCCCCTGCTCCCCCTTCCCTACGCGCCGTTTCCCCACTCCCAGCCCCGCAGCTCCCAGTTCCCTATGCGCTGCTTCCCCATTTTCCGCCGGCTGCTCCCCCCTCCCTACTCGCTCCTTCTTCCTCACCCCCACAATCCCGTTTTTATTCCTTCGATTTCCCCCATGCCATATCTCTCAATTTATCCTCTTGCCTTTCTCACCGTGTCCCCCGTGCCCTCCCCTTCGTTTCGCCCTTGCCCTTCCCTTCTTTTCTCTCTTGTACTTCCCTCATTTCTCTCTTCGCCTTACCCTCCGCTTCCGATTGCATTCCCCCCCATGCATTGCATCCTGTTTCGTCATTCCATCCAACTCCTCCTCCCATCACCCAAATTTCCCCCCTTGTCTTTCCCCCCGCTCCCCCCTTATCCCTCCCTCCCTTTCCCCTTGTTTCCCTATGCTTTCGCCCATGTTTTTCCCTCCTTTCCCCCTTGTCCTGAAGACCGGTTCCCCCCTTGTCCCTCCCTCCCTTCCCCCACTGAAGCTCCATCCATTTCCCCCCCTCCCCCTCCCTCTCTTTTCCCCGTGTCCTTCCTTCCGTTTCCCCCCTTGCCCCTCTTTCTGTTTCCCCTTGCCCTTCCCTTCGTTTGCCCCTTGTCTTTTCATTTACCCCTTAATTAGGGGCGCCTCTGGCCACTTTTCACACGGAGCCAGGCTCAGATCTATACTCGTTACAAACAGGGTCCCACCACACTGGGTCAAGTCAGGTAAGGTAGCTGCTGTGTCGCGCGACTGTCGGTCACTCACCCACCCGTCGGTCCTCTGGCACCACCATCTAGGTCACTCGTCCTTCCAGCGTCTCAAAAGGATGGTACGTCATTGTCTGGTCACAAATCTCCCCGCGTCTCTTGCCCCGCTTCGCCGCTCGCCTGCACCACAATGCACTCCTCGGTCATGCCCCTCACTCCTCCTCGTTCCCCCCCATCACGGCTCTCTTTCAGACTCTGCACATGGATGTCTAGGGTCCCTCCCCAGTCCTTGGCCCCCATTAAGAGTGGTGGACGACTTCTCTCGCTACACCACGATGTTTCTCTTGCGACGGAAGGCCGACGCGCCTGATGTCCTAGAGTCGTGGTTGCGGGGAGTGTTGGATGCACGTCATTCTGAGTGCATGTCATCCTAACGTCCTGACGAGTGCTCGTGCTATTCATGCGTGCATTGTTTGCATGAGCATATGCCATTGTGTATGGCTGTTGGATATTTTCATCTCTGTGTTTTTCTCCAAGTTTAAATGCTTGATCATGCAGGAGAAATCCAGAGCTTTCCAACGATACCAAGATCACCTTATTCCGACCAAGATCGCCCAAGTTACAAGATTTCCAAGATTTGGATTTCTTACTACCTTTTGGGGTTATATCTAATTTGGGTGATTACTTGGGACATGACTATAAAGGGATATTTGGTTGGGTGGTTAAGAAGGCAACTTTGACTTTTGGTTTGGGGTGGCTAGAAGTTTCTAGCATGGGTTGCAAATGTTGCAACACCTAGGCAAAATCCAACTAGATTGGATTTTGCATGTGACACCTCAAGGACCTCATGATGAGGGTTGCATCCTTGCTGCTGGGAAGGTTCCTACCATCCTTCCCTAGCTCTTGGAGAACCCCTTCCCTCTCATGGTTCTCTTGGAGTCCCCAACTCCAACTTCCTATGCTCTAATGCTTGTACTTCCTCAACCATTCTAGTCATGCGGCTGCTGGACGTTTTTACATGGTTCTCACTCTATAAACCATCTTAACAACTGATTCAACTTGGTGATGGTAGCTAAGCCTATGGCGCAACATCCTACCGAGCGGATTTGCGTTTAATTGAGAAATGAGTTTGTCGTAAGCTCTCAAAGTGACGGATCCTGAACAACAGGGAGTACATGCCACGCAGGGCCATTGAATGCTTCATCTCCACTGCGACCGTGCTGGTGAGTTTGCTTCCACTCGCATGGAGGTGTTGAGCGACGCATCGGCCTGGTCATGGAAGTTTCCCGGACCTCCATATGCCATGCGGGTGTCCCCTAGTTCCCGTGGCCCTGGGTAGTCCGCTATGCCGCGCACCCACTGAACCTGTGGCCCAATGACGCACGACCATAGGTGACACCGGTCGTTGTTTGGACAGGGTCCCAGGGTACAGCTTCTTTCTTAGTTTCCCTCTGGACGCCTCCGACTGGGCATTCTACGACCTGGTCACCCATCAGTTCTACAGTTCAGAGGACGCAACTTTTGACGAGTTGGTCTGTTACTACAGAAGTCGTCCCCACCAAGGTGCTGGGGTCTTATCCCTCCTGCTATTCCTCACCCCTGTGCCCCCCCACCAGTCGCCCTAGTTGGATGCGCTGGGGGTGGCGTTGTTGGAGGTGACACTGGTGGCATTGGCTATGCGGAGCCTACACAAACTCTCGTTCGTTACTACACACGTCTACTGAGTGCTCTCCGGCGGGAGCACTTTGAGCGGCAGCAGCACCTGCAGGCACAGCAACAGTAGCAGGTGTAGCAGTAGCAACAGGAGAGGGAAGACGAGGAGCCACGACACTGGCACCAGGTGCAGTTGCAGCGCAGCAAGAGAGGGTAGAGGAGGAGCCACACCCGCAGCAGCAGGCTCAGTTGCAGCCATTGCAGAAGAGGGTAGAGGAGGAGCCACACCCATAGCAGCAGGTTCAGTTGCAGCCGTAGCAGGTTCAGTTGCAGCCACAGCTGGTTCAGTTGCAGCCGGAGCAGGAGAGGGTAGAGGAAGAGCCACACCTGAAGCAACAGGTTTAGTTGCAGCCACATCAGGAGAGGGTAGAGGAGGAGCCACACCCGCAGCAGCAGGTTCAGTTGCAGCCACAGCAAGAGAGGGTAGAGGAGGAGCCACGACCATAGCAGCAAGTGCAATTGCAGCCGCAGCAGGAGAGGGTAGAGTAGGAGCCACTACGGCAGCCGCAGGAGTAGCTGCCCCCGCGGCAGGCGGAGCCGGAGCAGGAGGAGCAGCAGCAGCAGCAGCAGCAGGTGTCGTCGCTGCAGACGCCAGAGGAGGCAGAGCAGCAGCGACTACAACGTGCAGGCCTGGTCCGTAGTCAACTACCGTCTCCACCCGCTACCCCTGTTTAGTCCCTTTCTTCATCCCGTGATCCTGTCGAGCTCCAGTCAGTCGTGCCGTGTCCCCAAAGAATCGTCAGTCTCATTTCCGTGCCGACGGCCTGTTTCACCTTATTCTCCGCTCTCGTGTTCCACCACCTCCGGTCCTTCCATCTCCTCTTGTGTCATCCAGCTTCCGACTCTAGTGGTACCGCACGTCCTGTTGTCTCCCCTGTTCTGTCTTCTTTGGTCACATACTGCTCCTCCGTCGTCTGTCTCGGCTCTTGTTACTACTGTCTCTGACTTTGCCTGTTCTCTCCGCCTTGACTACGCCGCCCACCTGGTGAGCAGCCTTGCTCGTTCTCCGCCTGTTGGTGGTGCCTGTCTTTCCCTTAGAGGTCTTGGAGGACCAGTTGTTTGAGCTTGGTTTCCTTGCGGCCGCTGAGTCTCATCTCTACGCCATGCTGCTTGCTCCTGAGGGTGATCCAGACGCCCTTGATATCCCGATTCCTCGCGCTCACGCCGCGACGGTCTTGGGACCTTGGGTCCTCGTACTGGATAGTAGCTGAGGAGGCAGAGATGGCTTCTTATAGTTCCACAGGCACCTACGTCGACGCAGTCCCACCATCTGGGGCGAACGTCGTCACTAGCATGTTGATCTTCATGGTGAAGAGGCCGCTGGGAGCACCACCGAAATTCAAGGCACGTTATATGGCAAGAGGCTTCAGTCAGCGAGAGGGGGTAGACTTCTTCTTACAAGACTGACTTAACTAGGAAACGGGTTTAGAACCTAGGCTTAGAAGCCTAGGCCAAGCGGGTGTCGAGAGAGTTGTGCCAAGCGAAAGTGAAAATGGTTGAGTTCACTATAGCACACAAGGTACATATAGCAAACATGTACTATAGGAAGATTATACTAAATAAATATACATCTGCCTGAAGTGTGTAAGCATGTGTAGAGCCCCCCTTGAAGGGGTACACCTGTAATACCCCATTACTGTGCGTGGGAGCAACAGCAAGGCGCCCCCTTTGAAGCTGACAAGCAGCAACCACCAAACAACAGCTGAACCACCGCGGTGGAACAGGTGCCCGAATGCGGTTGAACGTCCCATAGCAGGTGCACAGTGTGCGAGGAGCACGGGTACGGGTAGCGGGTTCGGATAGCAACTAGGCACTGTACGGGACGGGCCGCGCGGGGGTGACGGGCAGCTCAAGACCGGGCAGCACAAACCGGGTGGGGCACAGAACTGACAGCACGGGTGGGGCACGAACGGGTACGGACAGCACGGGTGGGGCACGAACGGGCAGAACGGGGCAGCACGGGCAGAACGGGGCAACACGGGCAGAATGGGGCTGGACACGGGTTGAATGGGGCAACACGGGCAGAACGGGGCAACACGGGCACAACAGGGTAGCACGGACAGAACGGGGCAGGATACGGGCTGAACGGGGCATGACAAGGGTAGAACGGGGCAGACACGGGCTGAACGGGGCAACACGGGCAGAACGGGGCAGCATGGGCAGAATGAGGCAGCACGGCACGAGAACAGACAGCACGGGTCCAATGGGTGGGGCACGACCGGGTACGGACAATATGGGTGAAACAGGTGGGGCACGATCAGGTACAGAAAGCACGGGTGAAAAGGGTGGGGCAAGAGTGCGAGCAACGGGTAGCACGGGGCAAAACGGAAGCAACGGATAACACGGGGCAGAACGGGAGCAACGGGTAGCACGTGGCAAAAAGGGGAAGTACAGGCGATACGGGAGGTACGGGGCAGGGGATGAGAGGAGGAGGAGGCGGCTGATGCTGGACTTGAACTCCCGCCACTCCCATCTCCTCTTCCCTCTCCCCCCAACAGCGTTCCACCGCCACTCCCATCCCTTCTTCCCTCTGCCCCCCACAACGACCGCCACTGCACATGCGAACAGCCGCGACGTGGGGGGGTGACGGGCAGGGGGCGGGGGTAATGCGACGGGCAGAGTGACGGCGGGCTAAGGAGCGGTTGGGAAGACGGGAAGCAGGGCGACGGGCGGGATGCGGGGTGCGGGTGGCGCTGGCTGCAGACGATGGCGCAGGCACAAACGCGCTTGCGGGCCGCTGGCGAATTCGCTGGCGGGTCGCTGGCGGGTCCGCTGGCGTTCGCCATAGCGTCCGCCGCGGCCGTCGCTCTGAGCGCCACGACGAGGCAGGTGACGGGGATGCGACGGGGGACAGCGCGATGGGTTCTGTACGATGGGGCAGACGAAAACCGCAATGGGAAAGCGACGAGGCGGACGACGGTACGGTCACGAATGAGCTCCTCGTGGCTCCTTGTAGACGGACGCCATGACAAGTGCGTCAAATGGTGGGCCCATAGGAACGTTACGGCTCTGATACCATGTTACGAGACTGACTTAACTAGGAAACGGGTTTAGTGCCTAGGCTTAGAAGCCTAGGCCAAGCGGGTGTCGAGAGAGCTGTGCCAAGCGAAAGTGAGAATGGTTGAGTTCACTATAGCACACAAGGTACATATAGCAAACTAACAAAGGTGAAAGTGGTGCACCACCATCCAAGAGAATTACACTACAGCTACAGTACAGACCGATTATACTCAATAGACATAAATCCATGTTGATCCTTCTTCCATACCTTCTCTCTCGAAGATGACCACTCTTCGGGTGTTGCTGCATATTGCAGCCCAGCGCAACTACGAGTTGCACTCCTTAGACTTCTCCGCATCGTTTCTTCTGGGGAGCCTACACGAGCAGTTGTCAAGATAAATTTGTTATAGCTTATATTTGTTAGTCTAGGTGTATATTGTTGACCTAAATTTAGGTTCAACAGGAGTTGTGTTTGGCCCCGTCCTCGCTTGGGCGGAGCCGACCTCGTGGTCGCGTGCGCGGGAGATGCCACCAACCTGCAGCAGTGGGCAAGCTGGTCGACGGGGCTGGTCGACCTGTACGGGGGCCACTGCAAGGGCGTCGACGTCGGGAGGGCGCCGACTTCAGGAGGTCGACTTGTGAGGTCGACCTGTGGAGGGCGTCGACTTGGTGACACCGACTTGGGGTAGCCGACTTGGAGCGTCAGCTTACGGATGTGCTGGTCACCTGGAGTTGGCCGACCAGAAGTGGAGTTGGCCGACCAGGAGTGTCGTCGACCTGGAGCTGGTCGACGAGGTGCATGGTCGACCAGAGGTAGTCGTCGACCTGGGAGGTTGACGGGCTCAAGAAAGAGCTGGTCGACGTGGTGGTTGCCCAGACGACCAGGTTACCTGGGCGACGGGTTTTCTGCGGAGGCACGCGACTGTTGCCCAGGTGTTCGTGGCGAGGCCGACCTCGGGGTGGTATGTCGAGGTCGACGTGGCTGATCAGTTGCAATCGTCAGCATGAGGACGATCTGGTGTATGCGTTGTGCAGGTGACAAGACGCAGCCCGCCAAACATCTGCGTTCACCTGCGAAGCGGGTGCAATGTTGTCCTGCAGGTGCAATGTTGTCCTGCAGGTGCAACGCTGTGCAGCCAACTTGCTGCAGCGTTGGCACACTGTTGACTTGCAGTGTTGGCAGGCCGCAACCTTGCGGAGCGCGGTCGACCAAGACGTGCTGGAACACGGTCGACCGTGCTGCGCTGGCAGTCGTCCTGCTTGTATGCTAGCTCTGATGTTGTCAGCCTTGCCAATCTTGTAGCTATTATTTTGAATCATTGTTGTGATGTTTTACTAGTGAAACTCTTGCCAAATTCTTTTGTGAACTAGCAAGTAGTGTGAGCACAAGGGACTAAGGGAACGAACGCACAGATCACCCTCTCACCCGTGCCTAGCCCGTAGTCTAGCTCCCATTGAAATAGTTATCTCCGCAGGGTTCATAAGATATATCCTTTTGCATGTTTTATTTCTCCCGTTTAGTAACTTGACATGGTATAGAGCTTGTAAATCCCGATTGGCCCACCTACCCGTGCTCCGACCTAGTTCGTAGTGCCCAAACGCCCGAAGCGCCCCCTCACCCCACTAGCCCAAGTGTCACCTGTTTCTGCCCCGCGCCCCACCCGTTTTGCCCCGCGCATCACCCGTTTTTGCGCCGCGCACCACCCGTTTTGCCCCGCACGCTGCTCGCCAGCCCACTGGCGTGCATCAGATGCACGCGCAGCCTTAGCCGCACGTGTAGCCGCACGCACGTACGCCGCGAGCGCACGTACGCGTGGCAACAGCCGCGTGCACGTGCAGCCCGTTAGCCGCGCCCTTCCCCACCAATCCCCCTTTGCCTTAACCGCTGCCCCACCTGAAACCCGCCGCCCTACACCTGAAACAGGCGCCTCACACCTGAAACCCGCTGCCCCAAGACCTGAAACCGCCGCCCCATCAGAAACCCGCCACCCCACGACCTGAAACCATTGCCCCACGACCTGACACCGCAGCCCCACCTGAAACCCCCCGCCCTACGCGCTGAAACCTGCCTCCCCATGAGCTACCACCCCCGTTACTTGCCCCACCCGCTATCAAAACTGCCACCCCACGCTGAAACCCGCCTCTCCACGAGCTGCCACACCTGCCACCAGCGCACTAGCAGCTGCTTACACTGCTGCCAGAAGCACTAGCAGCAGCTTAGACTAACGCCAGCAGCTTACACTGCTGCCAGAAGCACTAGCAGCAGCTTAAACTGCCGCTAGTAGCAGTAGCAGCAGCAGCAGCAGCAGCAATGTTTCTAAAGAAAACAAGCAAAAGCATGCATAAGAATATATAACCAAGCAAGGTAAAGCATAATAAGGGAAATAAAGGTAAGGCGGGCCGTCGTACTCTCACATGTTCCCCCTCAAAGCTGGGTGGCATGAGATACACCCTGCTTGACAGAATTATCCTTGAGAGCACTGCGTGCGTTGTCCATATCATATTGTGCATGCAACTGTCCTCCGAGGGGTCATATCCTTTCCAACGTATCAGGGACTCGAACGTTGCCGCGTCGGCGTCGATGAGCAAAAACTCGTTTCACCTCGTACTCTGGTTCATTGTATACGACAACAGGTGGCAGTGGCGGTAGCTGGCATCGCTGAAACTGTTGGTTGGGGTCTTTGTAGGGCTTCAGTAGCTGTACATTGAAAGCGTTGTGAAGCTTTCATGTAGAAGGTAAGCGCAAGCGGAATGTGACTGGTGCCACAATCGCCTCAACACGAAAGGGGCCACAGAAGCAAGGACGGAGCTTGGACGGTAGGTGGAACAATTCCAAGTTGCGTGTGTCAAGAAGATCCGGATCTCTGACTGCTACAAAGTGATTACGTCGCTGTTTATCAGCATACTGCCTCTGTTCTGCATCGTGGTGAGACGTCGCTGAGTCTTATCCCATTATGGTGCATGGTGGTGACGAAATTATGTGCGGCTTGGACATGTGCTGGTGTGGTTGGCTGTTGTGGTGTAAGTGGTTCCCATCCGCAGCAGAAAAAGAAAGGAGATTTCCTTGTGGTTGAATGTGAAGCATTGTTGTAAGCGAACTCAAGTGCCAGTAACAGCTGATATCGTCTTTGCAAGCAGTGCCTACTCGACAACCACCTGACTGAGTTACTCAATCTGTCCGTCAGTCTGGGGGTGGTATGCTGAAGACATTGCAAGCTTTGTACCCAACAAGCCCATGAGTTCCTTCCAAAACTTACTCATGAACTTTGGGTCTCTATCCAAGATAAGTGTCGCGGGGATGCCGTGGGTGGTGATGATGCGATCGAAGAAGAGGCGAGTAGCTGCTTCAATAGTAGCCGTGGCGTTGGTAAGGATGAAGTGTCCCATTTTAGAGAACTTGTTGATCATTGCGAGTATAGTATCATGCCCTCATGAGGTCGAGGGAAGCCCAGTGATGAAGTCGAGGCTAACAACTTGCCATGGCTGCTCCGGTACGGGTAGAGGCTGAAGTACCCTGCTTTTTTCTGCTTTCTAATCTTCATCCGCTAGCACGTATCGCATGAGGTGACGAATTGCTGCACGCCTACTGCCATCCGGGGCCAGTAGTAATACTTAGGTATCCCTGCAAAGATCTGTCGGAGCAGGCATAGTTCGGTACCCAAATCGTTCCTGAACCCTTCCTTATAGCTAAGTCTTTCTCCCATTGTAACATCTTCTGTTTCTATGCTGTAGCGAACACTGCATCCACAGAGTACCTATGTTGGAACAAACCCTTGACCAGAGGGTTCATTCCGTCAAGCTGGACGCCTGCTACGTGCCCTGGGCGGCTCAGCGCGTCAGCTTTGTTGTGTAGCCCGAGGATATGGATGATGTCCTCTTAGCGTCCTTCCGCACTTTGTTACGCCTGGGAGACACCGACCTTCCCACTAATACGCTGGCAAGAGGGTGGCTAAGTATGTGGCGAGTACATCGGGCATGGGACTTGTCCTTGGAGGGAAGCAGACAGTTACTCACATGTTTCTCGTACTCGTTGTGGGAAGACGACGCTGAGTCACTGCGGTCTACACAGGGTTACTACTTCTGCCTTAGGACAGGAGTTGTTTCGAGGAGGTCGACTCGGGCGTCGTCCATCTCCAGTTCCAGCTGTGAGGCAGAGGTGTACGCTGCGGCCATGGCTGCCCAAGAGCTTTGATGGTTGTCTTTCCTCGTCACTGACCTTGGTGAGCAGCCTCGCTCTCGCCCAGTCTTGTTCTCCGAAAAAATGACCCCCACCACCCCCACTGCCTCCACCACCCCCGCCACCTCCACCGCCACCTCCACCAACCCCACCACCGCCACCGCCACCGCCACTACCCTCACCACTGCCATCACTAGCGCCCCCTCCACAATGCCCACCGCCCCCACCCCTAGTACGCGCACCCATGCCGTGTCATCTCCCGCCAGGGGAGGACGCAACATCGACCTCCTCAGCTTCAAGGAAGTCAGCAGCAGTAGCAGCAGCAGAGGCAACAGCAAGCGCGAGAAGGGAGGTGGAGCACCCCTCAAAGAAGGAGGGGCGGGGAGTGCCACGGGAGGAAGCTATAGCATAGACACTGGTCTCAGCCTCGAGGAGGGGACTCAAACGAGGCAAGGGTGAGCTTAGTGGGGTCTAGGGAGAGGAAGTGGTCTCGAACGGCGTAAAGAGAGACACGGAGGCTAGCCGTGAGGAAGTAGAGAGTGAGGTACATGGGGGGCTGGTACTCAGCCAGAAACTTTGGCTTGAGAGCAGCACAGTAGCGCATTTCAA